CAATCAAAAAGAGGTTTCACTTTGAGAGTAAATACAAGTGGATTACAAAGTCCATAAACACTAACAATCGAGGACCCAAAGTTGTAAGGGTTACGAAAGAACAAAAAATGAATTATTCTTTGTAGGTACCAAAGAAAGTAAAGAGCAAATGAACCTTGGATGGTGGATGATCAAAGCACATGGCCGGAAATCAAACTCTATTGTTAAGTTCCAAAATAAAGGATGTCGATCATGATACTTTTGGAGATAATGCCAAAAGAAAAAATCATTGCCATTGAAATCATTGGAGATGTTTGAAATTGATGACTTAAAGTTAATGAACACTCCTATGAGCTCATCAATCAAATGGACAAAGATAATCAAGGTACTTCTATAAACATAACAAAATATCGAGACATGATCAAATCTCTTATTTAATCGCAAGTAAACTTGATATTATATTTAGTATGTGATTATGTGCTAAATTTCAAATTCAATACTCAAGAAACACACCTTTGTGCTATAAAATGAATTTTAGATATCTTAGTAGCACTAAGATATTTCATTCTAAAGGCACCAAAAAGAAGAACATTATATTCGAATTTGTGAATATGAATAATCAGTTGATCAATATTCTTACTTAGCCTCTTAACACTTGAAAATTTTCATATATTTAAAGAGGTTTGGAAATTATCAATGAATTTATTGAATTATACTAAATGTTCTCATATGATTGATTCTGCATGCACAATTGATTGAAATTTATTTAAATTCTATTCAAATGATTTTACTTTTGTCATTTCATCACACATACTTTGATCAATATTTTACTATAAAGTGATTATTATCCTTTTTTTAAATACTGGCATATATTTAACATCTTGTACTTAATTAAGGGGAGATATATTACTATTTTTTATGGTTGATTTAAAGTTTTGATCTTATATACCATACTATTCCTCTCATATGTGCTACCGTTTCGCCTATGTTAAAAGAGGAAATTGTATTTTGATCTTAAATGCTATCCCTTTTACTTGTGACAAAAGGGAGAAATGGAGTGAGACGATTATGCATGTTTCGAATTGAAAATATAAAATGCTTAGAGTATATGAAAAAGGGGGAAATAGAGAAAGTCATTTATATGCTTTGAATATATAGTTATTGATTTGTTAAAGATAGGGGAAACATAAATTACATGATAAATTTATAATGTATATTCCTTTATCAATATGATATCAATTGTTCAATATTACCTAGCAAATCATCTTATTTGTCATAATAAAAAATGGGAAAATTGTTTACATAAGGTTGATTTCATCCTTAATGTTTTGATCATAACAAACAAGATTAATATTATTTCTGACAATTGATTTTGAGTGATGATAGTTTAACGTTAAAATCAATCAAGCATTGCTAAAATCAACACATAATAAATCGGACTCGAAATGAAGATCAAAGTGAAAGTTAACCATTCAAGTCAAATCATTCAAGACGAAAGCTTAAAACATCAAAATTAAGACTATCAAATCGGGCTCATGAAGAAGAACAAAATTAAGAGTTTAAGAGTAAAACACAAAATAAACTTCAAAGCATGATCAAATACTAGGCTTTCGAAATCACATGTACATGTATCACACTTTGATCTTTAGTAATGAATG